TTCCCTCCCAAATTCTCATCACAGATTCCCAGCATCTCAAAGTCCCACCATCCAGCTCCCTTGCCTCATATTTTTTACTCTCAACCGTCCCCCAACCCTGTACCTGTCCAGGCACTGGCTTGTCCTTTTGATTTTGCATCTGAATCATCACAAGTCAAAACCACATGATCTGGCTGTCACAGACCAACTAGCAGGAGCAAGATGCCTCCTTCCCAGAGAAACTTCACTCTGACTAACTGGGGCAATGCTGCAGAGCCCCTAGTCAGGTGATAGACCTAAAATGTTATCTTTCTCTATAGGCCTATTGGGGTGATCAGTTATAAGGTATATAAATCTCTAATCACTATCTCGTACACCTGAAACTACTGTCAACTGTAACCAAAAAATTAAAAATATTGTAATAAAAAAAGATGAGGTGATGATAGTGGAGGTGGGATGTTGGTTACAGTTCTTCTGATCCCCTCCACAGCTTCCCCATCTCGGCACATGTCGGAGACGCCCTGCAGAGAGAAAAGACCAAAGACACAAGCAAAAACTATCTTTATTATGTGGGAAGCAGGGTGTCATGGGCAGAGGGGTCTTGAGAAGTTTTGATCTGAATGAGAACTGGTAGAGGTTTCCTGGTTTTATTGCCTTCACAGTCCCCAGCCTGAGATGTTGGTCTCCTTTACTTAGAGGAGGCGGTAGAGTGGCCAGTGGTCCACCCCACACCAATGTACTGGCAATGGCATGTGGTTTCCCCCTGTACATCCTGGGTACCAGAGGCACAGCCACATAAGCATCTGGTGACAATGTACCCTGCACAGCATGGGCTAGGGAGAGAAAACCATGGCCCTCAGAATTTGAGAGAGGCCTTCCACTAATTACCCTTAGTCTCCTTCCTTCTGACAGGGCAGAAACAGTGTGGGATTAGAATAGGAGGTTGATGGAGTAGGAGGTGGATGACATGGCAAGGCACTGGAGAAAAGAAAAGGTTGCAGTAGATGAGATATAGGAAGGGGGAGGGAGTGGAAAGCAATCTCCAATTCCTAAGTAGCCCCTTGGCGGGGAGGATGGAAAGGAAATTAGTGGTATTGAGGTTGTGATTCAACCCAACAACATTACATTCCTCAAACTGGGGACAATCTGCTGGTAGCCTGAGCCCAGGAGCCTGAGAATGGGTGTGGAGTGAGCAAGCACCTTTCCCTCGTACAACTACTCCACCTGAAGGGCAGGATGACCCACTACTTTCATTAGTGATGCTGGTATACGGGAGGGCTGGGACCCAAACTGGCCAGACCCTTTCCCCAGACCCCACATCACCTTTATGCTCATGCAAAGGAGTCACTGTGTCCAGGATTGAGTAACTCAATAGCTGTGTGCTGTTGCAAAAGTATGTAACTTTTTGAAGCCTCGGTTTCTTTTGTAAAATGGAATTAAGAGTGCTCACTTCACAGAGTTGCACTGAGGAGTTAATAAAATAATGATGGAACACTTAACAGTGCCTAGCACATAGTATGTGCTCAAGAGTGTTAGGTGCAGGGTTCCTCTCTGCATCACCAGCAACTCTCAGCACTAATAAGGCATGGAGAGGGCAGGGGCTTTGAGACAAATCTTCCAGTTACAGGTTGTCCTCTGGAGACAAGGTGGGAAATGGAGTGGGGTCTGGTAGCGGGACTGAGCATCAGGCATAAAACTGCCCCCCCATTCTCTCACCCTCTCCGGTATCAGCCACCCAGTTCACTGAACATTGCTCTTATCTTTTTATTCATAGCAAAATCTAAGAAATGTTGGGCATCCTACAAGCTCATCAATTGAAGAAGGGCAAAGAGAAGGAGATGAGAAGAAAGCTTTATTCTGCAAGAATACAGCATCCTGTGAAGATGAAAAAAATGGACAGAAGATGAAGAGTAACTCCTGGGTTTAGAGCAGGGAGGATGGGAGGGCAAGGAGAAAATAAAGTAGAAATAGGTGTTCATGGGAGCAAGGGAAGGGAAGCAGCAGGGTCAAGCTGGCCTGGATCTCTTTGCAGCACTCTCAGGAAACAAGTGCCAGGGAAGAGAGTTGTCTGCCACACTCACCCAGCCAGGTTTAGGAACGGGCTGCCGAGGTGTGGAAGACAGGGATGTTTTACACCCTGGTGCAGTGTTACCAGGCTAGTCCCTCGTCTTAACCAACAAACACTGCCAGTAGTTGGGATCTAAGATAGCTGGGGTGGGTCGAACCTTCAGAAAGAGCCTGAAACAATCTCCGGTGTGTGTCTGGAGGGAATACTAGCTGCCTTTGCTTGGGTTCTCTGCCTAGGGAAGTCATTTTGCCTTTCTCTGTTTGCATTCTGCTCCTTCTTGTCAGCCCCACAAGGCTGGCAGTTGCCTGACAGGAATTGCCAAGTTTGCTGACTACTCTCATCACAGACATTTTGTTCAGTCCTTCAACAAGAAGAGACAGGAAAGGTGTAGTCTAAGAGCCCTGGTTGTCATCCGCCCAGATACCTTCTATTGCCCTTGACTAATGTTGTCCATGGAAAGTAACAAAAATCTCAGCTGGTGAAGGCTTAACATGAGAATAGAGGGTCCATGAAGTCAGTAATCCTTATGCATTTTAGCCTCTGCTATATCTCAATGCCTGCCACAGAGCAGAACTCCATAAATATTTGTAAAATAAATGAACACAAACACTTATTATTCATTTATGAAGAAATAAGTTTCAATGACTTAGTTCAGTGGCTGAATGATGTTATTATGGCCTCATATTTTTCCCTGTTTCTACTTCACAGTCCTTATAATTTTTCCTCAAAAGTCACAAAATCATTGACTAACTCCATGGTGACAACTCTAGACCTTACATCCCCATACCAACATCCAAAGCAACAAGGGTTATAGATAACTTTGAATCTCTGATTTTTATTCAGGAAAAAAACTTTCTCTCCAAACAGAGCTCTTTTCAGTCTTCTTGGACTGATTTTGGTCATGTGACACATGATACACTCCATACAAAGATGTCTGGGAGCTTGGTTATTGGCTAAAACAATAATTTATCATTCAGGACTGGGCACATGAGCACCCTGAATAAAATAAGGATACTTTTAACACAGAAAGGGAAAACTGGTCACTAAGTGCTCAATGAACTGTATCAGCCAGAGCTACAAAATCTGATTTCTGCTTGTATTGTTGGCAACCTCTCTAGCCTCCGTTGTCTCTCTTCAGCTTTTTCTTTCAAAGAGATTCCCTCTGATGTAGTTATTTCTTCTGCAGGCACCTTGAGAATAGAATCAAGGGCTCCATTAAAGCAATGTCTGTCCTTCACTGAGCAAGGTTGAGGTAAAATAAAAGGAATAGAAAGCAAGAGAGAAAGTGGACTAGCACTCAGAGTTGGACTTGGTAGTAACTAATCCATCATTCATTATAGCTTCTCCATGGGCTAGGCACTGGGGATTCAATGACATTCAAATTAAGTAAGATTTCATTTCATCTTTCATGGATCACATGTCCCAAGGGGGGAGATAAACATTCACAGATAAGTATATATTATAATGTCAAGATTAAGAAGCATTTAAAAAAGGGGGGAGGGCAAGAGATAAAGCATGATGAGAAGACTTCTCTGGAAAATATTGAGAGCTGACCTTGTGTGTGGAAAACCACGTAACCACTTGGTGGACACAGAGTGGAAAGGCCTTGAGGTAAAAGTGTGGTTATAACTCACAGGAATACCAAGAATGCACGTGTGGCCAGGGCGAAGTGAGCAAGGCTCAGAAATGAGGTCAGAGGTGTAACCACTGGCTAGATGCATGGTTTTCCTGGCCATGATAAACACTTGGGATTTTATTTTATGTGTAATGAGAAGTCTTTAGAAGTGTACTTTGGATAGGAAAGTGACATCACTTAGTTTATTTTTTTTAAACACTAGCTGCCATAAATAGGAGTATATATTATTACAATGATTAATAGTACACAGACAGAACATAACAAATTGTAATAAGTGTTAAATAAACACAAATGGCATTGTTATAAATGTATGTCTTAAATGAGAGAGATGAAACTGCTTTCCCCCAAGTATTTTATATATGCATGGATAAATAATTCTAGAGAGAAATAAAGTTTAGAACCAATTATATTCCTACTTTTTCTTTTCATAGTTATGAGCCTTGAGACCACTTCATAACTAAGTAGGAAAGGGAAATTTTGTTACAGTAATGTCCTTCAACTTGTTTGAATTCCTTATGCATTATTAGTTAAAAATCATACTATAACTTATTAAAATTATTTTGATAATCTACTCATTAATAACTAGATTATGTCCTTTTGCAGTATTGAGTCAAAACTAGAAGCTCCCTATTTGTAAAAGACTTGTTACGCACTCACTGAGTCAGTCACCAATTTTTTAATCATTTTTTTTACATTCTGCTGATTTTTACACCCCAGGGCAATGAACCATGGGAGGGTTTCATAACAAGTAAGGGCTTGTTTTTCTTTTGTTATGTGGGAGAAGCATAATGGCAAATTTATCATCTTGATCAAAATGATAATACATAGAAAACGGTACATATACAAATCAAAAATCTAGAAACTGACTATTTTAAAACTGCCTTTGTCCACCTCCCCCTTGGAAAATTCTGCCTACACCTTGTTTGCAGCCACTGTGCTAGTTGGTGTGGTCCACAAGGACACATGTGTCATTTTCTCTTGTACCTTCTACTGCCAAGCAAAGTGCCTGGCACAAAGTACCCTTTTTTTTAAAATAGTAAAAGAACTGTAGTGTCCATTTAGGTCTTCCCCATTTCCCTCGTATTTTTCCTAATCCTTGTCAAGAATGAGTTATAGGGATTCTAGAAACATTTTCTGGCTAAAAGAGTCCTAAGCCAGAAGTGGTGACATCAAAAATATGTACACAGAGAGGTGCAAAAGTTGCCTTTATTATCCAACAAGCTGGGTTGTAACAAATGAAGGGAAACTCTTAGTGAAGTTTCCCATTTGGGGTCATGATTTCATTCCAGTCATGGCCACACTTTCGGGTTCTCATTGTCATCCTTCTTTGGTCAGGTGGCAGCAGCGGGCCGTGGCCCAGTCTACCACGCTGCACTGGCAGTGGCATGTGGTGTCCCCTCGGATATCCCAGGAACCGCAGGCATAGCCACAAGCACAGCCCGTGACAACATTCCCTGTGTGGGCGCATAAGACATGGGTGTCAGAGCCCTGAGATTTTGAGAGGAGGAAGGTCTACCCATAATCATCTTTCATCTCTGCACAGCCCAGAGGTTGTTTCTTTAAGGAAAAAATACTAAAACAAATTTAGGCATATGACCATGGTGGAGATCTGTGAAAGTGAGGGGCCTAGGCATTTCTGTTCCTTCAGATTCATGGTAAATTCAATTTGTGCTGTTGCCTCTACCCATCAAAACAGGGCATGAGGTTGAAAAAGGGAGATGAATAACAAGGGACTGGACAGGTAATAAGGCTGCACAGCAGGACAATTGAGAAGAAGGCTTATACACTAGGTCATGAAAGGAATGTGGGGAGGGAAGAGGCAGAAACCCAAGATCCCTCAGCAGCTTTGTTATGGGGAATGAGAATGGGTGAGCCATCTCTGGGAGCCCGGAGTCAAGACTCAGCACCAGGCAAACACAAATGTGGGTAGAGGGAAGCTGAAGGTGCTGGGGACAGACAGGGAAGGGCATAGGGCATCTTACCCACCATTCTTCCTCATGGCATCACTCACCTTCAGGGCAGGAGGCCAGTCTGCCAGAGCTGGTGATACTGGTACATAAGAGTTGGGGAGAAGTATTGACCTCTGAGTAGGAGAGAAGAAACAGTATTGTCCATGATCTCTGTTTTCCATGATGTCCTTCTACAACTCCTTCTTCCCGAGAGGTATCCCTGTGTCCATAATCAGGCTACTACCTAGGGTTAGTGTTTAGCTGCCTCATTTTGAAAATGAAAGTAATAGTTGTACTTACCTCAGAAAGTGAAAATTAAATGAAGTAATCTATAGAAGGCTTTTCATCACATTTTGTTCATAACGAGTGTTCATAAATTATTGCTATCTTCCTCCTTCCCTCCTCCTCCTCCCCCTCAACATTATCAATATCATTATCATCAAGGAAACTCTAACTTTCAGTCCAAAAAGAGAGGACTGATAGGAGAGTGGGAAGGCCCTGGGCAGGAGTCTTAGGCTTGAGTGGACTGACTAGAGGTTGGGATCTGGGGACAGGGACAGAGGGAAAGCATTTAGGAGCAGGAGGCATGATCAGGGGTCACCCTTCTGTTTCACCTGATTGCTGTCAGTTACCCAGATCTTGGAGAGCTTCATTTATCTTTTCGTCCACAATGGAGTCTAAGGAACACTCAGTGTTCCCTACACTCATCTGAAGAAGGAGGATGGTGATGAGAAGGCAGCAAGTAGGCTTCATCCTGTGGAAGGCAGTGTCCTGGGGCTGGGAGGAAAGATTGGAAAAAAGCTGAGGTCTCTGAGCTCCAAGGTGGTTTGGAAAAAAGGGAGAAGAGAATGTGGAGAGTCTCAAGGTAGCACACATGGAGAAATGGCAGAGTCTGTATAGAGTTGGGATCTCTCTAAGAAGTCTAAAGAGTAGGGAGAGTGGCTGCAAAGAGGACTCACTCACCAAAAAAATTCAGAAAAGTTCTGCAAAGACTCCTCAACCAAGGATGTTTTATAGCTCATGGTGTTGACCTGGGCACCCCTTAACACACAAGCATGGACACCCATACAAACACACTGCCTGGTATTTTCAGAGAACTGAGCCAGCTGGCATGCACCACAGCACACTGATACACTTTGTCTGCCTTGTTTTGCTTCTGTAGTGCCAAGGGGAGTTCCCCTGCTTTCTGTTCCTCCCCATCTTCTTCTTGGCAACCTGATGAGGCCAGCGCCTGGACTTTCTGTGGGCTGCCCCATATTATAAGCCTCTTGTTTGGTTCTTCATCAGTAAAAGGTTACTTCATAGTATGCTGACCTCTTAAGACATTATTTCATTGTCCCTGGCTAATCCCACCTGTGGGAAAGTAACAGAAAATCTGATGACCACTGATTTACAAACAAGGAAGTGTACTGTTTCCTTCACCAGAAGCAGGGTGCTTGATTCCAGGGTTCTTTTGGAGACACACCAGGGTCATCACCAACCTGATCTTTTCCCCTTTTCTCTACCATTCTCAGTTTATTGTCTTTCCATCCATGATCTTGTCTCATCACGCTCACAAGGGGGCAGGCATCCCATTGTCAGTGGAGACCCTGAGCAGGAAGGGAGCACTGGCGTACGGCCATTCTCTAGGGCTTTGCCTTTTCATTTTGGAAGCATGATTTTCCTTTAGAAGCTCAGGCAGATTTTTTCCTACATTTCATCATTCAGTTCTGGGTCACAGACTTTCTTTTCCAACATGTATGGCTAAGAAATCAAGTAGGGACTCCATAATCCCTATTTAAGGCCATTGAGCCCAGATGTGTTTAAGAACTCAGATTTTTTTCAGGTTTTAGTATGTAAAAAAGTACAAATTATGTATATTACACTATACTACTAAGAAGGTTAAGGAAGCCTCTGTAATCAAACATATTAATAAATCTCCTGCAAAAATGTATGAATATTCACAAAACATATAATATAGGCCATAAATAGCCTGATGCCAGGCCACGCACGTCAGGTTTTGCTGCCAAATGAGTTAGCTTCAAACTTAGGGAAAATGTTTTAGGCTTTCAAAGACTTTTAGGTTTTGGAATAATGAATAAAGGATTGAATCTCATGATTCAAGAGCAAGATGAGGACTCAGAGGCCATGTATTGGAGGCAGCCAGAGGTGGAGAGCCTGGCTCTGCCCCTGCTGTGCCAGTTTTGCCCTTGCCCCTTCCCTAGAGATGCCCTGTGAGGCACAAGAAGTTATTTCTTCTACAAATCTCTTTTGGGAAACTTTGAGAGTGGGGCTCAGTGATGGTAGCAAAAAAGCAAAGATACTTTCTTAATTGCCAAACAGAAGGTGAGGAAAGGACTGACTGAGGAGAGTGAGAAGGAGCACAGACTTGGATTTGGTATAGAAGTTAGGCAAATTAATTTATGGTTAATTTAATGGCTAATTATACAACTTCTCTGTACCGCTTCTAGCTCTGGTGACTCAGCGATGGGCAACACAGGCAAAGTCCTTGACCTCTTGAGACTACATTGTAATGTGGGAGATAAATATGTAATATGTCATATATTAAAAAATTTCTCTTAAAAAATAAACCAAGGCAAGTGTGTACTGTTGTACACAATGCACTGTGGTCAGGGATGGCAACTCAGAAGAGGTAACTGATGAGCAATGACCTGAAGACATGCATGGGGAAACAAAGACAGCTGGAGCAAATGTCTTAGGTTAAAGTGCAAACATCGATGTGAGAAAGAAACATCAATCAGTTGCTTCTCACGCCTCCAGACACTGAAATGGAAACCCAGCCATGTGCTCTGACTGGGAATCCAACATGGGACCTTTCAGTTTACAGGATGATGCTCCAACCAACTGTGTGGGACACCAGCCAGAAGGGATAACTTTTAACATCTCTGTCTTTTGTATAACAAAATAATCTCTAGTAATCATTATGCAATGGTCATAAATAATCATTATTTTTATTATTATCTGCTTTCAAAACAAAAAAACTATTAAAAGAATGAACATCAATTTTAAATATGGCTTAACATTTATTATAATATTTTTGTGTGAACTAAACTTTACACTTACCAAACAAAAATATTATACCTCTTAGTTTTGGAAGCTCTTTGAATTTATATTTTGAACACAAACTCTTTATGATCATACAGAATGACCCAACTGATGTAATTCAAGCTCTGTTAATTTGTCTTTACAATCACTGGGTCATCACTGCTTATTCAGAATCCACTATTTAACTGCAGAAATATGTAGCAGTATAGGTATTGGTGATACAAATGCCAACTTGAATATTTTTTGAACTATTAAGGAATAATTTACTTTAAAAATGAAGGCATATAGAGTTCCGGCCAAGATGAAGGCATAGGTAGAAAACCTTCACTTCCTTGCACAACCAAAAGGAGGATAACAGCCAATCTAAAAATTAATAAACAGCCAGAAGTGCCAGAAAACCAAACTGCATGGAACTTTGACAACCAAAGAATTAAAGAAACAGTCAACCAGACCAACCAGACCAGTAAGATGGTGGACAGAGAGAACCTGAGGCAAGGCAGCAGACCACATGGGTGGGACTGACTAAATAGAAAACTGAGACTCAGAGCTGGCTGTGGACTAGGCAGGGGTTGCCACAGTGGGAGAAACTCCCAGTCTCATATGAGTCCGTTGTAAAGTGCACTACTGATGAGCTAGCAAGCTGCACTGTTCCTCTCTGTCCCCTCCCTCACAGACAGTGCCACAAGAAGCAAAAAGGGTCACCCTGCTTGGGTGAATACCTAAGGCCCCACCCCCTTACAACTTAACAGGTGCCCTGAGACAAAGAAATAGGGCCCAAATGAAAGAACAGAGCAAATCTTCAGAAAGAGAACTAAGAGATGAGGAGATAGCCAACCTATCTCCTGGGGAGTTTAAAGCCCTGGTTATCTAAATGCTCACAGATCTGATTGAGCTGGGTTGAAAAATGAAAACACAAATGAAGGATACCCAAAGTGAAATAAAGCAGAATGTTCAGGGAGCCAACAGTGACAGGAAGGAAACCAAAACTTAAGCAAAAATTTGGAACAAAAGGAAAAAAAAAAAACATCCATTCAGAACAAAATGAAAAAATAAGGATTCAAAAAAGTGAAGAGAGTTTTACAATCCTCTGGGATAACCTGAAACATTCCAATATCCAAATTATAGGGGTACCAGAAAAACAACAGCAAGAAATTGAAAACTTATTTGAACAAATAATGAAGGAAAACTTCCCCAACCTGGCAAAGGAAATATATTTCCAAGAAGTCCAGGAAGCCCATAGAGTCCTAAAGAAGTTGGACCTAAAGAGGAACACACCAAGGCACATCATCATGGAGTTACCCGAGATTAAAGATAAAGAGAGAATCTTAAAAGAAGCCAGAGGAAAGGAGAGAGTTACCTACAAAGGAGTACACATAAGAGTATCAGCTGGTTTTTCCAAAGAAACCCTGCAGGCAAGAAGGGGCTAGAAAGAAGTCAGGAAATGCAAGGACCTACATCCAAGATTACTCTATCCAGCAAAGCTATCATTTAGAATGGAAGGGCAGATAAAGTGCCTCCCAGATAAGGTCAAGTTAAAGGAGTTCATCATCACCAAGCCCTTATTGTATGAAATGTTAAAGGAACTTATCTAAGAAAAAGAAGATGATGAAAAATACAAACAATAAAATGACAACAAACTTACAACTATCAACAAATGGACCTAAACAAAAACAACAACAAAAACTAAGCAAACAACTAGAACAGGAACATAATCAGAGAAATGGACATCACATGGTGGGTTTTCAGTGGGGAGTTGGAGGGGTGCAATAGTGGGGGAAAGATACAGGGAAGAAAAAGCATAGTTGGTAGGCATAAAATAGATGGGGAGAGGTGAAAAATTGTTTAGGAAACAGAGAAGTCAAAGAACTTATATGTACAACCCATGGACATGAACTAAGAGGGGAGCAGGGAATGCTGGAGGGTTCTTTGGGGGAATAAAGGGGGAAAACTGTATAGCATAATCAATAAAATATACTTTAAAAAATAAAATGTATTGAGGAGCTACTATTTAAAGGAAAAAAACAAAGCATATAGCTAAGGTTGGGTATGTGGGGGCCTCACAACATAACTGGAAGTTCTGGGAAGTAAATTCCATGTAGAATACATTGATAAGTAAAAGATAAGTAATAAAAATGCTAATTCGAAGTTTACAAGTCATTATCAAAACTCAAGAGTAATCACAGCAATTGTTTTTAGACCAGTGTTTTGGGGGAGGAGTATTTTACCATTGACATTACCATTTACCATTGACATTACTTACAATTTCCAGTGTATGGTAATAATAAAAATCAAGTTGACTGTTAAGCAGATTTTTTGTTGCTTTTAAATTTTCTATAGACAATGCACTTGGCTTTGTGCCTGCAGCCCCACCCTTGGTAGTCACTGCTTCTGGTATGAGGATCTGGCCTGGGATCAGCCACCCCACGGCAGAGCTTCCACCTCAACATTCCTGGACAATGTTTAGAAAGTCTCACACAGAGAGGGTGGAAAGAGGCATTTGTTCCTTCAACATGTGTAAATAAATTAAGTGAAGTCTTGAACATTCTTCTCTCCCTAGAGCTACTCTCTTCCTAAGAGTGTACTCCTTTCCTAATGGCCCAAGTATGGAGGTATATGTTTTTATCTTTCTTATCTCCTCTCCTCAAGCAATTCTCCACTGATTACTTTGTATTTTATTTTATATAAATAAAATGTGAAAAGTTGGTAGCATAGAGCAGAGGCTG